TTCTAACACTTATGTCAATACAACAGCCTCATTCTGAAACCCTCTATCCTGAGTGTCTCTTGGATCTTGTATTGGGTCAACAGTTAGATAAAAAAAAAAAAATTCTTACTCATGAAAGAAAACATGCTCTTTAATAAAAGATTTGTTTCATACGTGTTTGTTAAACTAACATTTTTTATCATTTTATTATTCTGGTTTTTAAACTGCTTCCTATATAATTTGGGTTAGAAATATACATTCTTGTAGTTATTTTAAAACGTTTATTTTTTAAAATTATTTAAAATTTTATTCTAAATTAAAAATTAGTTAAAACTTTTTGGTACTCTTTAATAAAATAACAATTAAATTTTCCCCCTTTCTAGTTTTGGTAAAATCTGAAAAGTCTCCTCTAGGAATTTTCATTGAATTATTCTTTAAGGCAAACATTTTACAAATTAAACTATTCTTTTCATTCAAATGGAGTTTTTTATTTTAATATTTTTTTCTGAATATTTACCCCAAAAATATCGTCTTGGAAATATTCCACCTGCCATTTTTTTTTTTTTGTGTTTGCAAAGAGAAACCTGCAAATGGAATATTTTTAAAAAAAATCAATTTTTAAATTTAACCATTCCTTTTACCATTTAAAATTAAATTATACTTTTTCATTATATTTGCTACAATCATGAAATTTTAGCTATAAACTAGGTTCAGCTTCCAGTTTCTATGTAAAAAATTACATGTTTCCTGCCATCATTTTTTTTTGCGCTTTCCTCCTCTTTCTACCACTTATTCTCAACCTCCTTTTAATTCTCCTCCAACTTCTTCTTATCTCTACCTCCTTCTCTTCCTCCTCCTACTTTTACGATTCACTTTTCATTGTCTTATTCTCCTACCGCTTTTTGGCTTTCTCCTCCTCCTAGTTCTCCCACTTCTCCTTTTCATCGTCATCCTCCTACTATTGCTCTTTCTTCTCAACATTTTGTTCTCCTCCTACTACTACTGTTTCTTCCCCCTCCACCTATGTACAAAGTATACCATTTGATAGTGTATACATATTTTTAAAAGTATTCTATGCTTTTAATATTTTTAAATTCATTTTCTTTTAGTCCTTTTTTATTTTTTTTTTTCGGTCTACTTTTAAATTTTGATTGGCAAAAATTCTCTAGGGTTTCCTGATTTCATTTGTTTTTTTGTTTTCTTTCTGTGACTTTCTTTCTTTTCATGATCCATTGTCCCCGAAATATCAATGTCTACTCTCATCTAATTGGGATTCCCTTAATTGGAGTTTTTTTTTTTCTTCTTTTTAGTGAAATTCTTACTTTCTCATTTACTACTGTTATATACACCACCCCAACCATTGCTTTTGCTAAAATGGTTGCTTTATCATTTATTTTCTTTATTGTATACTGACATTCCACTAAATTCCCCGCATTCACACATGCACACACACATTACGCGTGCATATGCAAGCATTTCTGAAAAAGTTCTCTCAAAAAATGTTGTCATTTAAATGTTTTGAAGTTAAAAATTTTACAACATATGATACGTGGATGACACCAGGTTGACAGTAGACGCAAAAAGAAAACTGCAATAACTCTTAGACAATGTAGAAAAGGAAATCGAAAAGAAAAGACTATTATTCATCAACTGTAAAAGAGAATGCATGGTCGTTAGGAAAAGGGTCAGTCCAAGACGCAAGCTACAAATTGGAGATGTCAAAATCAAGCTAATACAGAAATTTGAATATCTGGGGATTGTTTTAACGGATAACGAAAAATGTGACACAGAAATCGGAATGTACAATGAAATAGTTAAAGATGCCTTCCAAAAGGTAAGCAAAATATTAAGAAACAGGAAAATTTCAGTAAAAACAAAGAAAAAAATGCTTAACTGTTATGTAATAGCAATCGTTCTATACAAGAGTGAATGCTGTACAGTTTCCTCACGGATGAAGAGGGATCGAAGCAGTAATGACAAAGTTCTGGTGCTCCTGCCATATATCAAGAGAACCTTGATAAAATCTAAATAAGAATCAGCAATATTATTGATTCTGATCTGGCCTCTCGGCTTCAGTCACTTTCCCACCGACGGAAAGTTGCCTCCCTGTGACTTTCTTATAGAAAAGTGCTGGATTGACGGCAAGGTTTCGTCATTTTACAACTGAATTGCTTGATGTAGCCGTAAGTTCTATGCTAATAGTTTCTTCTGTCAAAGATCTTGCTTGTGGAAGTCTCTTCCGGCTTCTTGCATTTCAGTCAATTTTGATCTTCAAAAAACAAAAAAAAAAGAAAAAAAAATGCAAGAAACCGGGAGAAAGTTCCACAAGTGAGAAATGCAAAAAGAAATTGTCGATCTTGAGATCAAAATTGACTGGAAACCAAGAACCCAGGAGAGAGTTCCACAAGCGAGAGAAGAAACTTTTGATCTTCAGATCAAAGTTGACTGAAAAGCAAGAAGCCGGGAGAGAGTTCCACAAATGGGAAGTGCGAGAGAAGACACTGTTGTTTATTTTCTCGCACCACGCACTTCTGCTTCACGCACTGCTTTCCAGACAACTTTAATCTTCAAGAATTTAAATGCAATGTCAATTTCTTTCTACTGTCCTTCTGATTTTTTTTTTTTTTTTCTTGCTCTTTAATAATCTTTCTGTTTTCTAATTTCTTCCACGCCCACTAACTCCTTGTGTGTCCCAGTGGCTTTACTGCCTTACTTGGGGTGATATGGCTAAACACACACGCACACACACACATATTGTGGTGGAGTTATTTCGCAGTGGGGGCTTGTATTTGTACTAAATCGAACCTAAAATAGGTTCGACGTACAAGACGTTAGGAACTTGATATTATAGGTATTACGCACAGTAATCTTGTTGTGGTCGCTGACTACTTTCGTATTCGACTACTGTCGTCCGAAATCGACGCTATTTAGTAACTGGCCCACGCAGTCACATGTGGCACAAGGCCGAATTTAATGTGAGTTTCCCGAGCCCGTAGGCTCGGCCAAAAAATCCCCGTAGACCCCGCATAAACGGGATCGGGTCTGTCTACCACCCCGGACGAAACTCTGCCCTTCGGCATAGCCTCGTCCGGGTTCCTCTCTGCCTTCGAGCAGAGAGTTCGACTGTCGTCCGACATCGACTAGTATTTAGTCACCCCCCCCCCCGCGAGGGTATCATGTTGCACAAGGCCGGTTTAACGTGGGATCTCCGAGCCCGTGGGCTCGGCAAAATATATCCTTTGAACCCGTAAAACGGGTTCAGGGTCAATTACCTCCCGAACGAGACTCCGCCCTTCGGCGTAGCCTCGTTCGGGTTCCTCCCCGCCCGAAAGCCGAGAGTTCAACCGTTCAGCCGGTCGTCCGACATCGACTACCCCCCGTTTCTCTTACTACTCCTACTTATATTTGGTGGGAGAGTCTATTAACTATAGAATAGGTGCGTTTCACCATAACACACACACACATACACACACACACATATATATATATATATATATATTTTTTTTTTTTTTGAATAAAAGACAGACCACGTTAAGATTTCATGAAATAAGCTATTTCACCATAACCCCTTTAACAGGGTTCTGGATCATCAGACTTACTTCCAAAAGCTGAAATGAAAAATGAAAAGAAATTCACCCGTTTTTACGGACTTCATCAAGTATACGCAAAGTTAACGAAGTGAGGTGGAGAGAGGATATGAGTGTGTCATATGTATCATTTTAGTTTCCTATTTTAACCCCAGTGTGTCGGCTGGATGTTGCTCAAATTTAACGCGTCTCGTCTCTAGATAAAGGTGGTTAAGGGGTGAGCGATAAGAACTACATTAAAGGGAGACGTTACAACAACCCCAATAAATTACACGACAGGTTTCATTACTAGCCTCGCAACCATTTGCGAAAAAAGATCAATCAGGTAAATGACGATTTTCTAAATGTGGCACAAGGCTAAAAGTATGGGGCACCAAATGAAAATCGTACTCACTACTCAGTAGTAATTGTTCTAGCCAGGCAAGAGAGCAAACCATTATACCACGTCAAAGTGCCAAACCATCAGGTGAATGAATAAAAAAAAGTGGCTCAATTAAAGATGAAAAAGAAAGACGTCTAAACTGATCTGTACTGGAGAAAGAAAATCAATGAACAATACTAGACATATTGATGATAATGCTGATGGAATGGTATGCCCGTCATCCGGTTTGGACACTTGAGTAAGCAAGATTGATATACATATGCTTCATTTTGATAAATAAAATGAAATTTATTAAACTGTAAGGAGTAATGCAAATGTGTGTCCTTGGCGCTGACACTTTTTCTTCACCAACCATAGCTCTATACGATGCATTTGCACATCATTGTCAGTTTTTAATAATAATAAAAAAAAAAACAGCTCAAAAAATCAAAGTAAAATAAAACAACAATAACACTGAGAATAGCTACAGTGCTGTTTACACAAAAACTGTTTGTCTAATGGCAGTAGATGTGTTAAGTGTACGCGCGCATAGAAATTATGTCAAAATGGAGAAAAGTTAGATGAAGAAGTGTTCTGCCCTCTCATATAAAAATATATTCATAAGGGTGGAATGGTTGGCATGTCAGACGTTAAAAGTTTTCTTAATATATTGATTAAAAGATCAATATTATTGAACAATCAGCCCCTTTATTTAGCTGTCAGGCATAGAGTAGTAGCCTTTAGAATAGAGAAAGATGCGGCCAACTAATGGTCATTGGTTGATAGGAACCCATTTTATTTTGTGTTATTTTCTTAAAACCCTAGAAAATTCTGTAGCTATATATGGAGTGAGAAGAAGATAAAGAAAGTGAGAACTAGTACTGGAAAGAGAAGAAATACAAGCGAGTAGGAGTTAAAGAGTGGGAGGTATAAGGAAAGCTTATTGGGGGGGTGTAAGGGATTTTCTAGGAGGGAGACAAAGAGGGAGTAAAATAATTGAAGTCTGGTATGAAAGAGAAAGAAAGATTAGCAATATTTGGAAGGAAAAAAAATGAAGATTATGTCAGAGGCATTTAATAAGAAAGAAAGAAAGAAAGAAAGAAAGAAAAAAAAAAGAAAGAATGGATGAAACAAGAAAGGAAGGACGAAGGGAACAAGAAAGAAAGAAAGAAAGGATGAAAGAAGAAAGGAAGGACGAAGGGAACAAGAAAGAAAGAAAGAAAGAAAGAAAGAAAGAAAGAAAGAAAGAAAGAATGGATGAAACCAGAAAGGAAGGACGAAGGGAACAATAAAGAAAGAAAGAAAGAAAGAATGGATGAAACCAGAAAGGAAGGACGAAGGGAACAATAAAGAAAGAAAGAAAGAAAGAATGGATGAAACCAGAAAGGAAGGACGAAGGGAACAAGAAAGAAAGAAAGAAAGAATGGATGAAACCAGAAAGGAAGGACGAAGGGAACAAGAAAGAAAGAAAGAATGGATGAAACCAGAAAGGAAGGACGAAGGGAACAAGAAAGAACAATGGATGAAACAAGAAAGGAAGGACGAAGGAACAAACAAAAAAAGAATGGATGGACAGAAAGGAAGGACGAAGGAAGAAAGAAAGAAAAAAAAGAAAGAAAGAAACCAAGAAAGAAAGAAAGAATGGATGAAACCAGAAAAGGAAGGACGAAGGGAACAAGAAAGAAAAGAAAAGAAAGAAAAGAAAAAGAAAGAAAGAAAAAAAGAAAGAATGGATGAAACCAGAAAAGGAAGGACAAGGAAAACAAGAAAGAAAGAAAGAAAGAAAGAAAGAAAGAAAGAAAGAAAGAAAGGATGAAACAAGAAAGAAAGAAAGAAAGAAAGAAAGAAAGAAAGAATAGATGAAACAAGAAAGGAAGGATGAAGGGAACACGAAAGAAAGAAAGAATGGCTGGAACAAGACAGAAAGGAAAAAAGGGAAGAAGAAATAAAGAAAGAAAGAAAGAAAAAAGAAAGAATGAAGAGAACAAGAATGAAAGAAAGAAACAAATAAAGAGTGAATAAAAGTCATGAGAAGAAAAATGAAGATGAAGCCCCAGGTATATAACTACAGTGAAAAAAAGAAAAACAGAAAGATTTGAGAAGAAAGGATGATGTTATGGGCATATAATTAGACAAGTGAAAGAAAGAAAGAAAGAAAGAAAGAAAGAAAGAGTCGGTGGTAGGTGTTGAAAAGGGGTAAAGAAATGAGAATAAATAGGTATAAAATGTCGAAAGAGTGGTAGTAGCATTAAAAAAAGAGAAAGGTTTAAGGCACATGCTAAAAAAAAAAAGAGATCTTCTTTCCATCTAGGTGTGGTTTCTCTGATGGAAAAATGTTATGCAGGTTCAATTCCTGTCGGGGAACACAATTCTCTTTTGTGAGATTTCTAAATCTAGGCCGGTTGGCATTAATTTCATTGTTTAAGAAAAAAAAATACCCACTAAAAATACCAATAAGGTATGACAGAATGGTTCACTGAAAAAGGTTTGCTTACCTGGTCATTAAAGCTGCTGTTATATTCAAAATACTTACTTTCTGATGCGATTCACTTCATGAGACGACGCCATTGCTGGAAAGAGTTGTAGATTTCAATAGTGTTATGAAAATCTCGGAAAATTCCAGTAAAATATCTTTAATCATTTCTAAGATACAACGGTTCAAAGCTTAATCTAACAATTGAACAATTTTGATGTTACACGATTTGGACACTTTTGCTGTTACATTCGGTATAAGTATCCTTTTTTTGTTTCCATTTTCTCTAAAACTTTGTTGTTCACATTTTCGGTCCATGGTATTCTCAGCATCTTTCTGTAGAACCATATTTCTGTTGCTTCAGCTCTCTTTTTCATCTTTGGGGAGATTGTCCAGCATTTATTGCTATATAGGAGGAACGATATTGCAATTCAGTATTCTTTTCTTTGTTTCTTTCCATCCTATGTTAATACCCTTCCCAGATAATTAAATTGTTGTACTTGATTGATTTCGTTATCCCCAATTTGTAATTTGCATGTCCTTTTTGCTAAAAACTATGCATTTTGTCTTCTATTCTATATATTCATAAACATACAAATACATATACTCTAAAATGCATACATATTGGGTTGGAAACAAAGTTCCTGTACAAATGTTAAGAAAACATACAAACAAGCTGTGCGAGAACTTTGTTTCCAAAGTAATATATACCTCCCTTTTTCTGATGATGACTTAAAACCATTTGAAAGGTTGAACCATATTTCCTCTATTTTGGGAACCTCGGCGTGGTATAATGGTAAGCAAGTTTGTTTTACTAGATCCGTTACGACTGAGTTTCGAGTCTCATCCTCACTAGGTGCCCCATACTTTTCAATTCATCAGACCTACAAATTCAAAAAGAAAACTGTTTTCTTTTTGAATTTGTAGGTCTGATGAATTGGATCGTATTTACGATTCCAATGGAATAAATTATGACCATGGAATATTAGTGTTTAAGCCTTTATTTATATATATATATATATATATAATGTGTGTGTCCAAATGCCCATATATATGTCTATAAATAAACTCTATATACATGTGTGTGTGTGTGTGTGTGTGTGTGTGTGTGTGTGTGTGTGTGTGTGTGTGTGTGTGTGTGTGTGTGTTTAATCCACTTACCATATTTTCATGTCTCTTAATCAAACTGATTTCACATTTCTTGGATTTCTCAAGTAGATATATTTTTCAATGTGGATATTTCTTACATTTTGTTTCCGTTTTTTTTTTTTTTTTTTGGTTGTTTTTTTGTCTTACTGCGTCATATCCTACCCTTCTTCCTCCAACTCCCACTCAACGGCGGCGGTAGGTGTAGTGGGTGGTGGTGGTGGGGGTGTCCGTCTTTCTCTTCTTATTCTTCTAGATTTCCCTCAAAGATCACACACTCATTGTCTATGATGTGGGTACCTTTTGTTTCCGTATACACTGAAGATACACTCAGGCAATTTAACATGTCACAAGGTCTCCCAAGCCCTTCAATGTCACGAGTCATGCCTTTTCTCACCCCGACCTCACCCCACCAACACCATAAGACTTTATTGCTTTCATTTATCAGTGATTCTGACATTTTTTTAATTTCGTTCTTTTATTTCATTATTTTGAACTTCATGATTGAATTCTTTCCCCTTATTTTTCTTCAATATTTTTCCTTCTTTTCATTCTGTTTCTAATTCTCTTTTATACTTCTTCATTTTCTTTCTTTGCTTTCTTTATCTTTGTTTTTTTTCTTTGTCTTTTATTATTAGTACTATTCTATCTTTTCTTCTCTCATTCTTTTTTATTCATTTTCTTCCATTCTTGTCTCTTTTATTTTCTTTTTACGTCTTTTCTACTTTCTTCTTCTTCTTCTTCTTCTTCTTCTTTTTCTTCTCCTTCTTCTTCTTCTTCTTCTCTTTCTTCTTCTTCTTCTTTTTATTCTTCATATTATTATTATTGATACGAATCTCCTTCCTTCGTTTCTTTATCTTGTTCTTCTTTCTTTTCTTCCCACATTTCTTCTTATTGTCTCTCTTTTTCTCTCCCTTTTCTTCTCTCATTTCTTCTTCTTCTTTTATATCTTATTATTATTCCTTTTGTCTTTTCTCTTTCGCTTTTTCTTCTCTCTCTCATATTTTTTCTTCATATTTTTCTTTCTTTTCTCCTTTATCTCTTTTGCTTGATTATTTTATCCTCCTATTTCTTCATATTCTTTATTTTCTTCTACTTCTTACTTTTTTCTTTTTCTTCTTTCTTCGTCTTCTTCTTCTTCGTCGTCGTCTTCTTCTTTTTCACTTTTTAACCTCTTCTCGATCACACACCAAAATTTGCTATTCCTTTACATCTCATTCTACCCTTCTTTATTTTTGCTTTTTTCTTCTTTTCAAGTTTTCATTTGTTTTTAAATTTATACTTCATCACATTTTCTTTCTTTGACTGTGTCTGTCACGTCTTCCTTTATTCTCTTCTATTTTTTTTTTTTTTTTCATTCTTTCAAATTCTTTCATTTTTTTCTTTCTTTTATTCTTCGTTCTATTTCTTTCATTTTTTTTTCCTACTTTCTGCTATTCTATACTGCTTCTTCAAGAAACCACATCTATCTTTCTCACTCTTTTTCTTTCTTTCTCTCTTCCTCACTCTCTCTGTCTTTCTTTCTCACTCTGTCTTTTTCTTTCTAACTCTCTCTTTTTCTTTCTCTTTCTTTTTCTTTCTCTCTCTCTCTTTTTCTTTGTTTCTTTCTCTTTGTCTCTCTTGTTCGCTGTCAGTTTATCCATAATCTTACTCTCTCTCTCTCTCTTTCAGTAGTCTCTCTAAGTACTCTCTCGCCATGTCTTTTTAATGTTTCTATAAGCTACGTCTCTCTCTCCCTCTCTCCCTCTCTCATTCACTGCCATTTTATCCATAATCCTACCCACCTCTCTCTCTCTCTCTCTCTCTTACTGTAGTCTCTCTAAATACTCTCTCGCCATGTCTTTTTAATGTTTCTATAAGCTACGTCTCTCTCTCCTCTCTCCCTCTCATTCACTGCCATTTTATCCATAATCCTACCCACCTCTCTCTCTCTCTCTCTCTCTTACTGTAGTCTCTCTAAGTACTCTCTCGCCATGTCTTTTTAATGTTTCTATAAGCTACGTCTCTCTCTCCCTCTCTCATTCACTGTCATTTTATCCATAATCCTACCCACCTCTCTCTCTCTCTTTCAATAGTCACTCTAAGTACTCTCTCGCCATGTCTTTTTAATGTTTCTATAAGCTACGTCTCTCTCTTCCTCTCTCCCTCCCTCATTCACTGTCTTTTTATCCATAATCATACCCACCTCTCTCTCTCTCTCTCTCTCTCTTTCGGTACTCTCTCACCTTGTTATTTTTAATGTTTCGATCAACTATGCCTCTTCTCTCTTTCTCTCCCTCTCATATTTTCCATAACCCTGTTCTCTCTTAACCTCTTTATTAAGATACACTACCGTGTCATCCTTCTCGTCACCTCTCCCCAAATACATGTATGCTCTCCCTCGCGCGCACGCGCACATTCACACTCATTTTTCTTTCCTCTCAAACCTTGTACTCTTTCTCTCTTATAAATCATCCATAAATCTATTCACTATTATCTGATCACTCTCTCTATCTAAACCTGTAATTTCTATCTGTATATTTCTCCTTTTATATAATTCAGTGCATAGCCTTTAGTTTTGTTTCTCTTTGTCTATAAATACACATACACACACTTTCCACTAATTTCTACTTTTCTTTAATACACTTCTCTCTTTCACTCTATTTCTCTCCAATCCTTTTCACTCTCTAATAATTACAGTTTCGTTCTTTTCTTTGCTATATTTTCAATCCCCTTTCTTCTCTCTATTTACAATTATATAAATCAACTCTGTAAATCTCTCTTACACAAATCCCCCACTCTCTCTTTCTCACGTGTTCTTTCTTTCTTTCTTTCTTTCTTTCTTTCTTTCTTTCTTCCAACAGTTCCGTCTTTCTTGAAAAGAAAAAATGATAAAATGAAAATCACAGTTACTACTGCTATTTTCTCTATTTATCTTCTAATCTAGTTTCACTTTCACTTTCGTTTTTCTCTCCATTTCACTTGAACAGTTTTTTTCCTCTTTTATTTACATAATTCTTCTTGGCACTAATACAGTAGAGACGCCTGGAAAATACAGCTACAAAACCCGCAAACAACACCCAAGAAAGACACAAAAATAAAATAAATGTAACTTTTGTAAATTTTTACCATGTCTCATATTACAAGTAAAACTTTGTACAATGCCTCATCTAAAAAATGGTGACATTAATAATTCTTTAGATTTTATTTGGAGAATAAAAATGACGAATCCCATGAATACTTTTTGTAGTGCACCATGCTGTTCATATATGTGGTTTAAAATTTTTGACAGCACAAATTTTAGGAATTTAAAAAACAAATGAAAGTGTTGCATTTAGAATTTTTTTTTTGTTTCAAATCTAACAATGCCATATTTTTATGATTTTCATTATACATGAATATGCATGTGTGTGTGTGTGTGTGTGTGTGTGTGTGTGTAGTATAGAAATTAAAACTATATTTATGGCTTTTAGTGTCAAAAACATATATATATATCTTAAATATCTTAAAGATATATATATCTTAATATTCTCATGAATTATTCTTAAAACACACTCACACACACACACACACACACACACACACACACATATATATATATATATATATATATATATATATAAAATAAAAAAAAGGCTGTCTTCATACAGTCTGTGGCCTAACGTTCGATGATCGAATGTCAAATGCCGACCTTTTTGAGAAATGCAAGATTGGCACCATTGAGACCTTCATAATGCAATCACAACTACGTTGGGCTGGCCATGTGGCAGTCATGAGTGATGATCACATACGAAAAGTTCTTTTCTACACTGGACTCCATAGTGGTCATAGGAATGTTGGTAGACCTTGTCTCGGGTATAAAGATAAACTGAAGAGACAACCTTTCTTGCATCAATATTCCATTCAAGAACTTTGAAGTGGTAGCTATGAAAAGATCAGAGTATCGTTCTAGCTGCCATGTAGGAATAATGCACTATCAAGAAGTAAGCATCATTCGACTGCGTGAAACACGAAAGCAAAATAAGACAGCTAACAGCGTTCCCGATGCACTTGGATACAATACATTCTCCTGTACTGTTTGCAGTCTTTTGTGCAATTCTCGAGCCCGTCTCAAAAATCATGGTCATCATAGGCATGCAGATAATTAGTTCGTTGGAACTTCATACTTCGAACTCGACAGGAGAGTCTATTATATATATATATATATATATATATATATATATATATATATATATATATATATATATATATTATCCCAATTAAATTTTCAAAAAATCTAACCTTAGCGTTGCGACTTCACGCTCCTCAAGTTTGTATCCGTTAACAATAACACATTTAAAAAAAAAATGAAACATATTTCGATTCGTATTATATTTTTTCGTCTCTGATGCTACCTGAATTTTACGCAAAAACAAAATAATTTCTATGTCTGAAGATGACTGAATGTAAAGTCGAAAGTACTTGCGTATTTAAGAAAGGCCTTATACAACTTATAATTTTAAAAACAACGATAATAACATTCATCGAGTCATTGGTAGGTTAATGCATCTTTAAATTTTGTTAGCGAAGGGATTTCGCCATTTTATATAATTAACTTTGCTAATTTACTTTTTGTATGAATGATTCATTGTAATATAAATTGAACTGCACCACATATTTGATATATATATGTTATGGTCCGGTTCCTTGTACCACGGTGATAGTCCAAGGTAGAACCAATAAAGAAGAACTCGAACACGTATATGGAATAACACAGATATATTACAAACAGAAATATATAGAGAAGTAGAAAGTGTTAGTACGAACAATCAGGTTTAGTAGAGAGAACAATGTAGTCTCGACCAGTATCACTATTCCAATGTCTTGCAGTAATTGTCTGAACGCGACTCTGTTTCGGACTGCCTCTGATTCGACTCTTGACTCGACTGACTGACTGACAGACTTCTGACGGACTTCAGACTGAACGGTATTTAGTCACCGCCCCCTACGAGGGCATCATGTGGCACAAGGCCGGTCTAACGTGGGATCTCCGAGCCCATGGGCTCGGCCAAAAATATGCCCTTTGAAGCCGTATAAATGGGTTCAGGGTCGGTTTATCTCCCCGAAAGAGAATCCGCCCTTCGGCGTAGCCTCGTTCGGGTTCCTCCCCGCCCGAAGGCAGAGAGTTCAACCGATCAGCCGATCAGCCGGTCGCCCGACTTCGGAGTGAACTACCTGCTTCCTCTTGAGGCGCAGTATTTATAGGAATAATCCATTATGTTATTGTGGGTAAGGTCCCATAACAATATATATATATATATATATATATATATACCCTCATTTTCCGGCCTTGGTAAGAGTTCAGAAGCATCCTCGAGTCATGGTAGAAGAAGAATTATTTTCCACCCTCCAACCTCTCCCTGACAGTCGGGATGTAACGAGTTTCTCTCTCATCTATTACTACTACCATGGAAAATGCTTGGACGAACTACATTCCTCGGTTCTCCCAGGTCTAAACTTCACGGCTAGGACCCGCCTTGCCACTTACATAGTAGCGGAACTACCACACATTCCCTCCGTATTTCATCGGCGTGAAGCAAGTTCCACTCAAACAGCTTCTACACGCGAGCCACTGCCCTGTGGAGTTGGCTCCCAATAGAACGTTTCCCCGATCAAGACAATCTTAACCTGTTTAAGTATAAAGTTAACCATTATCTCCTCATTCATTTTATTTATAACGTATAAACAGAAAATATATTAAAATACATGTCGGATTTAATCCAATACATATAATATATTGTCGTTGTTTTACGTTCGGTTACGTTTTCGCAGCAGAAATGAGCAATCGAGAAGTGTCGTCGAATGTGTATGTTTATAAGCAGTAATTAGAACTTTGCTAAACCCGAAGACTTCTATGGCTGAATCGGTTAACAGCACGTCGGGCTAAATGACGGTTTCCGTATGGGGTACAGGTTTGGTTTCTGTCAGAAGACGCATATTTTCTACGAGATTTCTCGAATATTCCGTCAGGTAAATGTAATTAATACTGTTTAATTAAATCAGAGAATTTACAGAAATAAGCTGTATCTCTTAAAAAAAAAAATAACGTATAGACAGAAAATATCTAACTTTTGCAATCATGCGGAATCTATACCAGAATGCTAGGATAGCTCCCGGCTCGACCCATGAGAGAGAAAATCTTATGTCATGGGGGCCTGAAACTTTCTATGACCCCCCCAGAATAAACATCTCTCAAGAAGCATTCTAGTGCGATATATGCGTATAAAACGGAAAAATACACACATATATACATACACAACACACACACATATATATATATATATATATATATATATATATATATATATATATATATATACAATGTAACCTGATATAAGAGATTTTTTCTGGTCCCAAATTAGAGCCTGTGTTAATGTAAACAAAATAGACCAAACTGATATAAACCTGGATATAAGAGAGATTTCTTCCGGTCCCGACAACTCTCTTATATCCGGGTTACACTGTATATATATATATATATATATATATATATATATATATATATATATGTGTGTGTGTGTGTGTGTATATGTGTGTATATATATATATGTATATGTATATATATATATATATATATATATATATATATATATATATATATATATATATATATATATATATATATTCATCTCCTTCACATGTCTATGTAATAACAAAGGAACACTCAAATGGAAATTGAGACAGTCTCTTTCACCCAGTCTGTCCTAATTTGAAGTTGCAATCCCAGCATATTGTCATCATTCGTTTCTCCGACTTCAGTGCATGATTTTTTTTTCTGATAGTGTAAATTGCAGTTAGCATTTGCGCCTCCAGTGCCTGAAATTTGCCGTTGCTGCCGATTGCTCTCGACTGGGATGCACGCATGTGTCATAAAGCTTACATATTTAGACATCTTCACATCATGCAAATTCAATTATCTTCATAAGTAAAAAAGGAAAGAAACGTAGGTAAAGATAAGCACAACAGAAGCAGGTTTATATATTGAACGTATGTACTTATAGAGGAATGCTGCTAAATGGCAAGAGAGAGACAGATTGCCTCAATCCATATAAAGTTGCATGACTGATGGTTCAAATAATATACGAGTGTCTATCACACACACGCATACACACACACACACACATATATATATATATATATATATATATATATATATATATATATATATATATACAGAGAGAGAACGACACATATAATATATATATATATAATAATATATGTGTATGTATATATATATATATATATATATATATATATATATATATATACAGAGAGAGAGAACGATATAGTTATATAATATATATATATGTATAGTAATATACAGTGTCTATCATATATATATATATATATATATATATATATATAATATATATATATATATATATATATATATATATATATATATATATATATATATATATATATATATATATATATACAGAGAGAGAGAAGGATGGCAGACTGTCTAGAAAGACAGAGACTGAAAAATAGAAATAGACAGATTCATAGAAAGGAGCAGACATAGATAGATAGATAGATAGATAGATAGATAGATAGATAGATAGATAGATAAGAGAATGAGAGAAATAGCCAGACTGGCAGAAAGGGGCAGACTGAGATAGATATTGTTAGTGCATTTGTAATCTTGATAAATTAATTTCTTTTTTAATTAAAACTACATTCTTTAAGTCGAAACTCTGAAACAGTGTGTTCTTTCACTAAATATTAATCGTAGTAATACATCTGACCATAATTTTGACTTGTATGCAGTTTTCATTAAAAGAAAAAGTAATTTATTAATATGAAAATATATAGCAATATATAGAAAATGCTCAGATTTGTAAGTCTTCTAAGATCATAAAGCACACGCGTGCGCGCACATTCTCACAAACATTTGTGTGTTTGTAT